TTTAAAAAAGAAAAAAATAACAGTAAAACTAATGTAAACCTCAAGCTAAAAATAGCTGAAAAGCTGCAGACACGTGGAGGACATTGAAACTCTCCCAGCTACTGTAATATAGATGTTTAATGCAAAATTAACAAATTTAATTTAGACTAAGCTCATCTGGCCTGAGCGCTTGGAAAACGACTATGTACAAGGCAAACATCTGTAGGGCTCTCCTCTTGTTAGTGGGTGATGGCTGATGCAGCCATTACTCAGAGCGGGCCCTGACAACCATCTGCTGGAGGTACGCCTCACTCACCCTTCAGATCCATCTTTGTCAGGAATCTTTCTTCTGCTGATCTGTACTCCTGTGAACGAAGCATCCTTTTGTTTCATCACATATTTCACATCTATCGTTTACCCACCCTCAATAGGTTTTCAGATGCTTTTTGGTCATCTTGTGTAGTTTTATTCAGGGCTTAATTTGTAAACTGATTGATGCCGGAACAGTGGGCAGGGCGGGGGGTGTTTGTGAGTCCTCCCACAGAAAATTTTGAATAACAGAGATGCCATTTCCTGCATTTTGATGTATTTTAACAGGATGTCAAACATCTATATTTATCTACATTTGTAAAAACTTAATAAAATTACTATTTTGGAGAGCAACAGCAGGTTGTGTGTGAATAGAGCAACCCCTCCCCCCCTCACTTCATGGTTCTGAGATGAACTCTTCTCCTCTGAATTCAGTCCTCCTGCTCCAGTCTCGTGGCACCGTTTGAAGCACCTGAAGGCTTCAATTCTCGGTTGTCCAACTAAGAACAATCCATCCATCTATTTTTTATTAAAGTAAATTGGACTGTCTTTTCAACATTTTGATCGCTGTTGTTATTTTTGACAAATTAGCGCTGTTGTTTTGAAATGTGACGTATAATGTGAACATCAAACATGTCTCTATTGTATTTATTAATTTTTTTACAGTAAGCATTTTTTGTTTATTATGTCTGAAATGTAGCAGGAGTTCAGACACATCAGCAGTTGTGCGTGCGGTCTGTAGAGCTATCTGGAGACGCTGTGCACAACGTGCACTGTCCGCAGGGCATTTATTTACTCTGTTGAATAAATGATTGTTTTCTGTTTCGGGGGGTCTGAAAGGAGGAGAGAAGGACGTCGCACAGCACCTCTGTGCGTAAATGTGACCATCTGTCCCTCCGTACTCACACCCACCTCCCACCTCCTCCAGAGGCTCCTCTCCTGCTCCATGGAAGGAGCGTGTGAGCGAGCTGGTGCGCCACACGTGCTGCGGCTGGAACATCCACTCCACAGACTGGGTCCGCCAGGCTACGGTCAACATCTCCTCTTATTGTACTTTTAATAAATAATCAAAATAAAAATGCGCAATGACTTTGGACTTTTAGGAGCAGAGATTTGTGTTGCCGGAACACAGCCTGTCAAAATAAGAGTCCTGGATCCTGTTCCGGCGGGATCCGGCTCAAATTAACCCACGAGTTTTATTACTTAGCTTTATTATTATTTTTTTTTCCCTCTTCATTTCCATGTGTCTACAAAGTATCTCTATTTCACTTTAATCTCCCCTTCTCTTATTAATTTCATCTCTGTCTCCAATGAAAACCACAGTTCTTGGTACAATATGGAGAAAACATCCAATTCTGTAAAGAAAAAATTACTGCAAAATGTACAAGTTTACCTTCTGTAGATAGACATTTAGTTTTAAACTCTGCTATGCTGCAAACGAGACAGGAATGCAGACATGTATATTATACAAGATCTTTTTATGTTTTATGTTTTAATAAGATCAAGCAAAAATGATTGAGTGACTGGATTTTCTCAATCAAGATGAAAATGCTTGATGGCAGCATGCACTCCAGTACTCCTTGATCCCTGACCAGAATACAAATTAGAGACAAAGTAACAGCATAAGAAAGCAGTCTTCTTTATAAAAAAAAATAAAAAAAAGTTAATATATGTAAAGTGACGATGAAGGCAATAAGAAAAGCAATAACAGAGTTTGGTGGAGGAACACCATCAAAGTAGCCATTCGCTGCTCCCAGGAAACTTTCAAGGACAATCTCAGTCAATCAGTCTCAAAGGGAAATGTAGTGCACTCCAGGGGAGAGAGGGACAAATTAAACAGAGATAAGAGCCTACCTTCCCACTCCGTATCAATATGGACTCCAACAGCAGCTGATGTAGAACAGATCCTTCACATCAGCTTTATGGTCAGCTCCTCTAGTTTCTAATCAAGCAGCCAATCAACCATCACCTCCTCTTTTCTCCCACTTTCAGCTGGTATTTCCCCCCACCAGGCATGTGACTCTTTGTGAATTTGTTTGATTACACAAATTACACAACATTTAATCACTTCAAAAGTTTTTCCTAGTCCATTTATTGCCTCTGTTGTAACACAGCAACTGTCATGTTAAACGTGTTTGTCTGTGGCTGCCAAATGAGGACAGAAGGTTCAAAAATGCAAAAATCACCTACTTATCAATAATAGATCCGATACGATTAAGTAGCGGCGTAACCAACACACAAAACAACACGGCGCATCCAAAATAAAAACGGTTGCATCACAGGAACAGGCAAAACTCAAGTTTGCATAAAATCCTTTTCATTACTACAATCAGTGATTCCTGACCTTCTGTGGGAGTAAAGCTAATGTCTACAATTAGACCATGACACGTTAAAAAAAATTGCAGGTGGTGGAGCATTTGTGGGAGAAACAAGGAAAAAAAAGGAGCTTTTGCACACAAGGGACACGACTGGCTTTTTTTTTTTATAAGCTGCTTTTGAAAAATGAGAATCAAAACTAACATCTGAACTAAAAACAATAATTTGATCGTTTAAAGGTCAAACTTTTGCAAATTAAAGTACAACAAAGCAGCAACAATAACCAAAACTAAGAAAACATATTGTGTTCAAACTTCATTTCACACATTACAACTGAATTAAGTTAATAGATTAATAAAGTGATATGTTAACCAGCTCAAATGACAAATTTAAACAAACAGTCATTTCAATTTCCCTCCTGAGCGCTGCATTGAATTTAGATGATGAGTTACCGACTTCAACTGTTTTAAAGTCGTGGCTCGTTCGTGTTACAATTTTAATACCACCATTCTCCTTATTCACTCAAAAGATGTATATTATAGAAACCCCTTAGTTTTAGACAGAAATCTTTACTGCTGAATGACATAACCTTAATCAGTCTCCTTCTTGCAGCCTTTAATTTAGTGTCATAAATCATGGAGGACGTTTTTATTGTTCTCGCAGTTCTGCGTAATTACCCTGGTGTGCACCAGTAAACAATGTCGAGCCATAGAAATTTGATGATTTATGCTGCGTACCATAAAAACGGGGCCTACATGATGCTGAGGGGATGATAGCATTAAAATACTGCACTCGCTCCATGATCTTTTATAGGACGTCATCAGCAACAGATCTGCTCATCAAAAAGTCATCATCTGTTCTGAGATCAGTTCGACCAAGTGGCCATTAAAACATTTGGTGCCGACTCACCTGCTTGCCGTGGATGCATGTGCGGCGTGTGCCATTTACAAATATTCCCAGTTCTCAGTTTATAAAACATTTTCTTACTTTTCAAGCAGGTAGTAAACTGCCGTATTTTTCGGAGTATAAGACGCACTTAAAATCCTTTAAATTTCTCAAAAATCGACAGCGAGCCTTATAATCCGCCTTATGGATTAATTCTGGTTGTGCTTACTGGTCTCAAACCAATTTTATGTGGTACACCGCGCTCAAAAATCTGTCAAAATGTTTTAGTTTCGCTTAATGCGCCTTATAGTCCGAAAAATACGGTAAGTCCATTCCGTCACAAACTCATCTGATAAATTCTATTTTGTTGGGCTCAGGTGAGCAGGTGTTTGTCTTAAAATCAGCTATTTGTCCTTAAAATGTTCATCATGATTTGGGAGAAAAGGCACACCGTATATAGAAAAAGAAGAGGCGTACGAGCGTTGTGCATGTCACCGTGTATGCACAGTCAAACACTAAAACTGTCACAACCTATTAAGCCGTAGCTTGAAAAACAGAACAAAATGAGATGCCCAGGAGAAAACAAGTGCAAACAAAAAATGACAGCAGAATGTGATGAAATAATAATTGGAAACCATCTCTTCTAAAAGAATGAACAATCAGTACTGGTCCCATTCAATCTTTGCAGAAGATTAAATATTTACCAACAGTCAACGTCTTAAAGAGCCACAACATTTTAAAGGGACCAACAACCCATCTGACAACTAGCTAACACTTATTCTGTAATTCCATAAAACGCGAGCATGCTTTTATTTGTACAAAAAAATGTAAAAGTAGCCCCAAAGCATTTCAAAATGCTTGTACGTCTGCTACAAAAATAACTATCAGTAAAGCTCAATTCAACACTACGGGTATTTAAAAATTTGCAGCAGTAATTTCCTGATGGGCTCTTTGGGCCTGTCATCCTAAAACTAACAATTAAAGGGAAAAGCCTTATGTTGTATAAAACAGAACATTTAATTTGCCACAATGCACTCACATGAGCAAAAAGTTACAGGCAGAGATATTGGGCCTCAAAAAAAAAAAAAAAAAAAAGAACAAGGCTCTCATTACAGTGCGATCGTGCCACATCTCAAATACCCACCAGGCATCATTACAACCCAGAAAAGGTCCAAAGACGGAAGAGAGACAACACTGATTCAACACCAAATTAAGCCTACGAGCAAGAGAAGCGAGGAAAGGATGAGTAATGGGGACAAGATGAGGGACTCTTTGACAGGAACGTGGGACCGGATGAGGAGCAGACGTAAGGAGGTCCCAGTGTTACCTGAGGGGAAACTCTGCAAGCTGCCACCTCTCAAACACTGACACTAAAGATGCTTCTCTTCCAAAATGTTTGGAGATGTATACAAGTAAATAAACTTGAGCAGTGCAAACTTCATTAAATCAAACTCTCAGAAGCAGTGTGAAAATAAGACTTGCCACATTACGAAATAAACAAAGCGCCTTACCTTTGGTTTGGGAACAAAGGCTTGCCCAGGGATGATGAAGCACTTGTGGACGGTGCAGAGATACTGAGCCATGATGGACAGACGGCACCTCTGTCTGCTGCCTGTGCTGGCTGTCAACCTCTGGATGGAAAGAACATTTTTTAAACAAGCTGTTTTATAGTCAACTTTAGTCAAAGTATAATTATTCTAATTCTAGACACAATACGAGTCCACCCACCTCTACCACCTCCTTCTGGAAAGTGAGTGTGAGTCGTGTGCGTCCGTAGGCGAACGGCCCGGTTCTGTTGGCCATATTTTCAAGCCACTTGATAATGAGAGGAGTTGACACGTTGAATGGAAGGTTTCCAATGATGTGAAGATTTGGTGGGTCTGAAAAACATTTGCGTACCTTTTAGTTGTACACATTTCACATCAGTCAGTCTGCCTTCTTCCATCCTCTCACCTGCTTCCCATGGCTTGGAGACCTCTGCTGGGAATCCTTTATCCATTCTGTAAGTTAATATGTCACCTTGGATGATCCTCATCCTGTCTGGTGCTACCTCAGACAACAGCTAAGGGGAAAAAAAAAGGTAAAAGGTTTCCAGAAAAAAACGCTAATTTATGTGAATGACGGTGCTGTTGAAACAGTTCCTGGCTTTAACGGCGTGGTGCGACAACCTGCGTGAATGTTGAGCGTCAGTTTACCTTCAGCCCAGGGATGAATCGTGAATCTTTTTCCACAACCAGCAGATCTGCCACTCCAGTGTTAAGAATGGAGCGAGTGAGACCTCCGGGGCCAGGACCCACCTCGCACACATGGGCACCCCTCAAATTGCCAGCCTGACGCACTAGCTTGTCTGAAAACATAACAAGGCTCATCATTCCCTCAAGAGACTATTTTCAAACAGCCAGTCAGCACATAATACACTACAAATACAAACGCCATATACTCTTCAATCATATGTCTGCACTGGAGTTTTGGGCATCTAGATTAAGATTAATACCATTCATTTTGCAATATCGGTGTCTCATCTTGTGAGTGATGAAGATGAGGCACATTAATCTAACAGTCACCTTGCCAAAGGACAAGCAAGCACATCAAACCTGCACTGCATCACTGATAATCATATTACTCCTCCAGCTCTCAGGGGCTGCACACGACTGAAGCACTCCATTCACATTAGCAGCAGTTCTACCACAATCAGCCACATAGGAAAGCTCGTAAGTCTTTATGCCTTAAAACGTGGCATACAGGTTCTGGACCACTCATTGACAAAACAAAAAGAGTGGGCAGGACAACTAACCTGTGAGCCTCAAGTCCAGCAGAAAGTTCTGGGAAAGCTGTTTCTTAGCTCGCAGGTTGTACAGCTTTATCAGCTCCCCTACTGTGGGCAATGGAGGCAAACGCAAAGATGCCACTTTCTTTGAAGCTGTCATTGTGCAGATGAACACTGTGGACAACAACAAAAACGTGATGGATCAAACTCTTAAAAAGCAGAAATATACAAAAACCGACTGTATCTAATAATTCAGGATTTAAGAACAGATTAACTTAATTATCAGATATATGTTGTTTTGTTCTAAGCCTTTATATTGAGAGTCTGAAAAGCTAATTAATGGTTGTTCTGAATACATTTCATACACCAGATAGGCATTAAACTAATTATTTCTCTCTCCTGGTAAATATTGTTAGATCCAGGTATTGTGGCCTTGTTCTGAAGATTTCGAGCACCACCCAGTGGTCTTTTAAAGAACTACTGAGCATAAATATACCAAATCCACAAATATTAAGCAATTTCTTCTGTTTCCTTCAGTTATTCTGAAAAAAAAAATGTTTCATTTAGATTTTTACATTGCTACTCGGAATTACCTTTATCTGGATTTTACTGTAGCACTAACAATTCAGTCAGGAGGTTCGGAATCAGCGCACGTTAGCATTGGCAGCTAATATTAGCTTCTTGAATCAAACGGTATTTACAAAGTCAGCGGGAACGCTATATCTCTTCATATATAGTTTTTGTTAACCGATGTTAAGTTGGCAGTTAATTTAAGCCGAGGAAATACACAAAGCTGAAGAAGCGCAACGATTTACCCACGTTTCTCAGGAGTGACCCTTTTTTTCTCCGACACGCTTCCTTATGCGTCATAGCATAGCTAGCCAATTACATTACAAGAAGAACGTTCTTAACCAATCAGAATAAAAGTAGGCGTGGCTTTGGCTTGTCCTTGAGACTGGAGTTACTGTTGTTGCAATTCTAAAAAGTGGCCAGCAGAGGTCGCTATTTCTCCTCAAGTATTAATTAAAAACCCTGCAATTTTTTTTTTTCAAAAAGCAGCTCAATATAAAATTATTCCCAACACGTTTTTATAGTTAACTAAATATTTTTAAAAGAACAAGAAAAACCTTCACAATTTATTAAACTATTTTGAACTTAGCCCAGTTAAAATTTCTCTATGTTCACTGATGCACAGCTGTTGTTTGGATTGAAGCCAACAGCTGTGTAGACACAAGCATCTGCCCACAACCCATAGTGGGTCACAGGCCTATAAGCTTCATTTGGAAATACCCAGTGCCTCCAGTGTTTGCCACATGACTGGCATTTTGTGTCTTTCTGTGGCTGACCTTGGAACACAGACTCAGACTCTAAAGATGGAAGACGGAAATCACTAGTGATGGATGGGTGTCTGCTGCCATGGAAACTAACTAAAAAATGATCACGCATCATGATAAAAGATGCCAAAAAAAAAGAAAAAAATTGAATGACTATGCCTTAATAAAAGCAGACGTTTTTGAACAACACAAAATGTACTTCCCCTGTAGTCCATAACATGTCATTAACAAATGCAGGAAATGAGAAATAAGTGATTAACATTTCTGGGATGGTAAGTCATCTTTTATACAGGAACATCAGAAGAAAAACAAACTCAAAAATCCTGAAAGCCATATAATTTTTGAGCCAATTTAGATTGTAGAAACAGACATGAATAAACGCAAAAACCACAAGAGACAAAAAAATGCCCCAAAACTCCTGCTATGATCATAATTAACTGCTGAGTCATTAGTTTTCTCTGTGTTGTTGATGATGCAACATGTTCAGCAGTGTTTAATCCTTTAAAATGAAACCAGATGTATATGATTATGAAAGTGCTGTTTACTGTGTCAACATCGAACCATATCACTGTCACTGTTTAGCTTAGGTTTGTCCGCATACAACACTGTCAGTATAACGTCTCTAAAACAACACGTGTCTGAAGTAGAGAATGAAGTCCCAAAAATCCGAGCATTAATGGACCTTCAACAAACTCAACTGAGACAAGTGACTGAAACAGCGAAAGATACTGTTCTAGTGCTTAATACTCACACCCAAGAAATCAGAGCCCTCGTACATGCGATAAATGAATTAACTCTTAAGGTTGAAATGGATTACACTGTCGCACACCTGATGGATAGAATCTTCGCCGACATGCTTAGAGATATCAGTTCATCGGTAGACACACTAGCCACCGGTAGGATCCCACCGTATCTAGTCTCGCTACAGATGGTGAACGACATCCTCAGCTCCGCTACACGTGAAAGAGTTACGCAAACACAGGCACACCTGGCTTACACTCTCGGTAGCGCGATCCCAATCTACGTCGATCACAAGAAGTTTGAAATGGCATTCATTATCAACCTACCGATAATTCCCTCAAACGGCATATACAGACTCAGGGACGTCGTAAATGTTGGCAATTGGCACGGCGAAAACCATGTTCAAATCGACACACCAAAGATGGTTGCGTACCACGACGACAACCCCTCAGTATACCTAGTTCCAAACCTGCAGATGTGTGTTCTCACTCGGGAGATACACTATCTGTGCCCGAGCAAACCGTTTATGTGGAATAAAACCGCGGGCATATGCGGATTAACACCTATTCCGGAAAATTCTAAGTGCTCAACGACCATAACGCCGCGACACCTGGCTAAAACCGCAAAGGCCGAAATCGTTGGATCACGTTGGCTAGTGAACGCCCCCCAAAGAGATGCGATCATGGCCTACGAACAGCCTGGAGCAAATAGACCCCTGACCTTACCGGACAAGACAATGTGGATCAGTGTTCCCCAGGGAACAACCATACACATTGATGATTTGACACTCTATCACCTTGATCCGGGACAATGGGAAACGACTCTGGACGACACAGAGTACCTAAAAAACATGACTATAGACATAGATCCCGGAACCTTGGGAAAGATCCGGTTCGAGGGTACTAAGGTCGTCGACGTGGAACCGTTAAACGGAGTTCTCAAGTCTCTCAGGTCCGAGAATAATAACCCAATCCAACCGATTGCCTATGCGTGGTCAAGTGCAGACACATTGATCGTAGCCCTGCAAATGATGATACTCCTCGTGTTATGCGGGATACTCATATCCCTGTTCCGAGGCCTCCGGTTACTCCGAGTCAAACAAGATCTCCATGCAGTGCACCTCAATGTGATTATGTCTCGCGCACGCGGGTCTAAAAAGAAACAAACAAATAAACGGGACAGCGTGACTGAATCTGGCAACCAGGGTGAGGAGAAGCAGTGAAACGATGTTTCGAGATGCTTAGTCACTACTCTTGTCGGTGTTGGAACGTGTTTAGCTGATTTTGGTTGTTTCTGAGGTAAGAATGAATTTTGTTGTGTAGTTAAGTTAGAGACTAAGAGGCCTTTAACCATGCCAACATGCAGTTCATTCACTAAATTGCAATCTTTGCGGAGTCAATGTATATTATTGCTACCTTGAGTACCATAATCTACATTGATCTCACAACGCTTAAGCCGAACCTACTCGAACAATTCTATTCGGGGGGATAGCTAATTCTTTTTGATAAGTCTCGCCATAGACTTCCAAAACATTTATGGGAAAACCAAACACCCAATCTCAAGTCGTTTGTCTAAAGGACAACAGACAATTACACCAAACTATACTTTACCATGTAAAGCTAACTTAAACCAAGTTAGAAATGGAAAAATAGTTTGGAACCCTTTTCTATAGGCATAAACCCCTGTAGTACCCCTTTTTCAGCATTCTCCACCCCTTAACTGGTAGTTGTAGCTGTTCCCAACCATAATAGCTTACACACCAGATGCATATAGTTTAAGGCCTTATGTAAAATCCCCTTCATAAGCCCACCTTAAACCACATAATTGCATGACACATTGAACCAGAACGGCACAGGCTGGACGTCGCTGGAGACAACCTTCGCTGGAGGCGACCTGCAATCCTGACGTTGGTCTC